TGCGAAGCTGCCCGCAGCCTCTGCAGTGCTGGTTCAATCCCCGGCCACCAGTGAGGGTCCCACATGGTGCGCAGACCTCTCCTGCCGCCCGCTGCTCCCCTCAGCAGTGTATTTCGTCAGTCTGCCTGTTCTGTTCCCCTCTCTGGCTCTGGTGAATTCTCCCACCCTCCTGCGGTTCTGACTATACCCAGTGCTTGTATGAATAAATAAATAAATCTTAAAAAAAGAAAAGGAATGATGTGCTGATACATGCTATGACATGGGTGAACATCAAAACATGTTAAGTGAGAGAAACCAGACACAAAGACCACATACTGTATGATTCCATTTGTATGAAATGTTGAGGACTGTCAAGTCTGTACAGATGGAAGTTTAGTGGTTTCCAGATAGGGAGAGAGCTGAGGAGATGAAGGAAAATGGAGTGACTGCTTCTTTAGGATGGTGAAAATGTTCTGGAACTAGATAGAGGTGGTGATCGTACAACTAATGACAAATTTTATATTAACATGTATTTTACCATGATGAAAAAAGGAAATGTGCTACTTTTGAAAAGATTCTTCATTCTTAGCGAAGCCCATTAAAGATTGACAGGGTGGGATATGTCCTAAAAAGGGGGCACATGGCAAATTCAGGGCAAAGGGGTGGTGGCCACTTCAGGTCCACAGGACAAGGCTTGTACTTCCCAATTGGTATCCCTGGTGGTAGGACCTGCCTTGTGTGGATGTCGCAGCTACACCCCCATACCACTAACGGCTCCACGCACCCTGGTGTTCCTCATGACTCAGGGCAGTTTTAAGTTTGGGGCAACCTATTTTAAACTCTACATAAAGACATGTAAATCATGGAGTACTGAGCTGTTTAAAATTCATATTTGGGGTCTCCCCGGTGGCGCAGCGGTTGAGCGCTGGGTTGCATTGGGTTGCGAAGCTGCCCGCGGCCTCTGCAGCGCTGGTTCAATCCCTGGCTGCTCCCCGGCCACTGGAGGAGGGTCCCACATGGCGCGCAGACCTCTCCTGCCGCCCGCTGCTCCCCTCAGCAGTGTACTTTGGTCCTTCTGCCTGCTCTGCTCCCCGCTCTGGCTCTGGTGAATTCTCTCACCCTCCCCGCGCTTCTGACTGTACCCAGTGCTTGTATAAACAAACAAACAAACAAATAAATAACTCAAAAAAAAAAGAAAAGAAAAAAAAAGAAATAAAATTCATATTTGCAACTCATCAGATATAAATTTTAACTGCAGTTATGGCCAGGATAATTTCAGTTTATCTAATGAAAAGGGAAATAAACTTTTATGACCTGGGGGTGCTAGAAGAAGTTTAGTTAAAAGGTGTGTGGAAAATTTCTAGTTATTGCTACACGTGTTCTTTTCCCTTGTCCTTGGGATTGTGCCACTTGTTACTCTTTCCACAGCTTTCTACCCTCCAAAGGAAAATGCTTTCAAATGAGTCTTTCCTCTGTCTATGAAAGTTATACTTGATTTTTATAAATGTCCAGAAAAAACAGAAATAGATAATGTGTGTATATATGTGATATATTAAAGTACATACACACATATATAGAGAGAAATCAGCAATAAGAGAGAGTGCTATAGATGTTTGGCACGTGTCCTTTCAGCCTTTTTTTTCTTGTACTGGTGTCTTCAGTTTCATTGGAATCGTGCTACACTTGTCAACATAGCATGGACTTCTTCCATACCAATAAACACCAGTCAACAACACACTTTTCCTAGTTACTTAGTCTTCCATCTTATTCACCAGTGTTCTAAATGAGATGGAGGCTTTCCTTGGAGTGGTTCCACTCTAGTCACTTAGCCTTCCGTTAGAAATGGCTGCGGGCTTCTGGAATTATTTTCTCTTATTTGTGATGGCCAGTGATATCCCTCAAAGCAGAGGTCATGGATAGGTGAAAGGAACAAGGGTTTATAAAAAATCAGCTCAAAACACACAGTTCTTGGGAAGCTTTCCCTCACTGAGTCCTGTTCCATTTGGTGACCTTGTGTTTTGTGCTCCAGCAACAGCAAGACAAAGTAGTATGCAGGTGCATGGGCTTAGGTGTTAGACTGCATAGGTTTGCATTCTGACTTTTGGGCCATTGGATGTAGTATCACTTTTGTGCCTCAGCGTTCTCATCTGTAAAGTGATGACAGTAATAGTATCTACCTTCTAGGACAGATGAGATGTTCTATGCTAAAAATATCTGGCAGCACAGGACCTGGAACATAGCTAATTGTCAAAAAGTGGTGAGGGTTATTATTATTTCCCCCTTCACTGAAGTCACCCTCCCAATTTATGACTTTGAGAGCTCATTTGTATGCTCAGATAGATTACAGACTCTGAAAAGTTAACATGCCAGAGTACCTTTCCAGTGTTTTCTACGCTGTGAGCCCAGAGGTAATATTACTGATTGTGTGACCCAAAATAATGTTGCAGTTGTGGATTCTCCTTGGTTGAATTGACCTTTTTTCCATTAATAGAACAAAAGCAATGGAAAGATAAATGTGACATATTGTTGAGTTTTTAAAAAAGGTAAATTATAAAAATAGTACCATAGAGGATGATCCTATTTATATAAAATTAAGTGGTTGTGTATGCTTATAATTAAATAAACAATTATTTTGTAAGATGTTGGCCAAAATATTAAAGATGTTTTTCTCATAACAAAAAAAAATTAGTAGAACAGAACCCCCCAGTAATCTGAGAAGTGGCTGTAGGTGAAATGCAGTTCCTTCTGGTAGCTGTGAGCTTTCCTGGAGCAAGATCAACGTTGTAGCTGTGAGCTTTCCTGGATTTTTGTGTAAGGAAATTCATTCGGAGAACCTATAATTAATTAATTTTTCATTTTTCTTCTCTTCTCCCCTTTCCTTTCTTTCTTCTTTTCTTTTCTTTCTTTTGGTTTTTAAATAAAGTCCCATTGTTTTACATCCTTGTTAGTATTTTGACAGTATAGGATTTCTCCCCTCAGGTGTGGTCACCGTTAGCTCCCCCACCACCAAAGCACCCATAATGCTCCAACATAGTCATTTGTGCTCTCCTCACCCACCCTGTTCTTACTCTGCACCCTCCCTTCTGGATGCCTCAGCTTTTTATGGTTGGCTTTAAGGTCTGTCTTTGTCTGATACATTGTCTGGTTTCTCTATAATCCACATATAAGTAACACCATCCAGTATCTGTCTTTCTTCCTTTAGTTTATTTTTCTTAGTGTAATTCCTTCCAGCTCCATCCTTGTTGCTACAAATGACTTGAGTTTATCTTTTTTGATTGCTGAGTAGTATTCCATTGTGTATATATACCACATCTTCTTGATCCACTCATCTTTTGAAATATTTAAGTCATTTCCATAGCTTGGCTAGTGCGAATAGTGCTGCAATAAAAAAAGGTGTGTAGATATCCTATCTAATTAGTGTTTGTTTGTTTGGTGGAGAACCTTGAATTCTTAAATAATTGTGGTAATGACAAGAAATATGTAAAAGAACCAAAGGCCATTATTCTGAAATATCAGTCTACAGTAGAAGAAAAAATAAAATCTTGCATTCCCTTATTTATTAAGGATTCTTAGGAACTGAGTTATTTCTAGTAACTAGATTTTCTAGATAATGATGACTTATTCATTTAACTACCAGAACAGTTTACATTTTAACAATTTTGATGTAATTCTAGTGCATACTGTAGAGTTTGTAACTTTCACATAGAGACTATATTGAAAACAATTCATCCAATTTGTTAGGCTTGGAGTCCTCATTGTTAATACGTTGTTGTTGTCATTTGCTTTTTTTGTGCTGCCCACTAATTTCTTTCTTTCTTTTTTTTTTTTTGCAGAAAAAAAATTTTAATGCCAAAATAGGGATGCAATAAATCCTAATGAGAGAAATGGGGGGGTGGAAAACATTCAGAAAAGGATCTAGTTCTGAAAATAATAAATTTAAATGTTCCACTATAGGTTGCAATAATTAATATAGACAATATATCATTATCAACCAAAGCAATTTTATACTTTCCTTCCCAATCAGTATATCTTCTATTAATTTTCTTATCTTACTGTATTAACTAGAATTTCTAGCATAATGTTGAAAAGGAATCTTAAACAGGGCATTGCCTTGCCTTGTAATTGATCTTAGTGAGAAAACTTATAGTCTCACTCTTAAATATGATGTTAGTTGTATGTTTCTTTAAAATGTTGTTTGTTGAGAATGTTTCCCTCCATTGTATTATGCTAAGAACTTCTTTTTTTTTTAATAAATTTTATTTTTATATTCCCCATACAATTGCAACCCCCTTATTTTGACCCCAATCCCTCCCCTCCCTGCCCCCTACCCCCCATAGAGTGTCTCTGGTTCATAGTTTTTTGTTGATTTTGATTTTCACTTTCTTATAGTTATTCATTTTCCTGGTCCCTTATTTAAGTTTTCTAGATTCCTGCTATGAGTGAGACCATCCGGTATTTTTCTTTTTTTTTCTGGCTTATTTCGCTATTTGCCTTCTAAAAAACTTAGGCAGTTAACATTTTTCTCTCTTTTTTCCTCACTGGCAAGGTGTGTAAGATTTTACTTTCTACTACAGAAATGTGTGTAATAACTCTTCCCGTCTTCAAAACACCTTTCTAATTTACTGATCTCCAAATTTTATACCTGGGAATCCCCCAAGTTTGTTACTGTTGTGTGTAAAGTATGATTAAGAGATATTGAATAAAATCATGTATTTAGTGATAGCTTTTTGACCATTCATAGTCTTTACAAATTTACTTCCTGATTGTTGGATATTATCTGGTAGGGGTTTGGCTCTGGGAAAAATGCCATTTTATTTTATTTATAAGCTATAGTGCTGTGATTTTCCATTCTCTCATTGGTGCCACCCTGCTGCTCATAAGTAGAGAAATTAAAGAAAAATAATCACCTGTCCTCTGTGGTGTTGGGAAATATTTTGTAAAATGAGATTTGAGTAGTTTTAATAAAGACGTAAAATATTTTTAGCTATAATTTCACAAGTGTTTTTCTATTTTCCCTACAGAGATATAATGATGTCTATAACTGTTGGGAAACTCATAGACCAAGAAATTATAACTATTGCTCGTCACTACCAAGTACCCAATGAACCATGTCCAGTTACAGAAATCCTACTTGCAAAGGCCCATGAACAGCTCAAGAAAAATACTTTTGAGAATTTTGAAAAACTCATTGCCACTTGTGTATATGAAGATCGAGAAAAGTAAGCTTTTATTTTATAGATTCTAATAACATTTAAGTTTCTGTGAATCTAAGTGAAGAAGACATTTATATTTTATGAAAAAGAGTAAAAAGAAAATTGACAAGTCTCATCATATTCCACCATTTAGCAGAGTGACTTAAATCCTTTCTGAAGAGTATCTAGGTACAAATGTTTCATAGCAATGGTGAGCTTTGTTTGTTGATGGAATAGGGAAGATCCTATAGCTCCAAAAAGAGGATGCCCTTTTTGCATGTTCTTTTAATTGGCTTCTAGAAGCTTTCAACTGAAACAGTAAATCAAGATGTTAGAAGGCTTAATTTTGAGATGTAATCTTACTACATTGTTTTAGTGATAACTGGAATTTATAAATGTGACTTTTATAATAGAATAGCGAGTTAATTTGCAAATAAATGTTCTCAGAATTTCTTTGAAATTATTTCTTCTTGAAAATAATGATGGTCAGCACAATCTAATTCTAGTCCATTTATCATGTTTATATGGAGCTTTAGTTAAGTCATTTTTATACACAACTGGAGCCCTATCTTAGTCTGTTTGGTGTTCATTTTATCCACAGACATGATATAATGGGGGAGAATACTGTATTTATCAATAGAAAATCTTTGTTCTAAAACAGACAGTTATAAATCAGACATCCTGCAGAGGAGGAGGAGGGAGAGGGATCAGAGGGAGGGAGGGAGGAGCACAGGGGACTGTGGTGATGGTGTATGGGTGCATTGGTGAAGGAAATTCTATGGGGACTACACCCATGGGGGACTACAATGATATAAAAAATATATAGAAAATCTTTGTTCTAAACACAAATACTCCATTGTCATCTCCGTTTCCCATGATCCCTTCCCTCATTCCTAAATCTGAAATTGGTACACAAGTGGCCACTACCTACCTTAAATATCATTCAGTGTCATGTAGCTTATCTTAATATGAACATTATGTATTTTTCCTCATCCATAATACATACTCATTGAGTTTTTTTATGAAGATGATATTTTTCCTTGAATCTTTAAGCTTCTCTGAGCTTCCTGAAAGATTTGCGGCCTAAGCTTGGCATGACCTTGGCCCTGCCTTCCACTGTAGGGGAACCCTTCCCCAGTGTGAGAAGCGGGACCCCCTTCACTAACGTGGGCATAATAGGACTGCTTGGTCAGACCTCTCTGAGATTCTTCCAGACCCTACAAGCTTGGATTGTAGACATAAATATTCTGATAACCTTATTGCAAAGAAAGGAGACCACTTTCCTGTTGCTTCTAATTTGCCTAGTGGCTAGAAGAAAATTGGATGAGTGAGAACATTACAAGCATTTCAATGCCCCAGCAGCCTGGGGGAAATGGCTGTTGGGCTGCTGTAGAGAAAACCATCCAACAAAATTGAGGTGAATGTTAAGGCCTCAGCTGGGGCTTCCAGGTTTTAAAGTTCGGGTCCAAGGAAAAGACCAGAAAAACACCCTCAAGTCACATAATACTTGTGTTGGAGGCTCTTGATGCTTGTCAAATTAAGAGATGTTTTCAAATATCAGAATCATTTTTGACTAGTGGTCAAGAATGCAGATCGATTACTTAGAGCAACACTTGTGGCTGCAGTCTTAATAGGTCGTACTACCACCAACCAAGAAGCTGAAGCTTGATGGGAAGGCGTTTGTAAGGACAGAGTCTGATGACTTCTGAAATGGAAAAAGTTGGTGAAATGCAATATAACTCTTTCCTTACCATAAATTCCAGTACCAATTTTCACACTTATTTAAATGTGTACATTTTAAGGAAATGTCTGTATTTTCTTTCGTATAGCATGTAGTTGTCAAGGGACAGAAAATATATTTATAAATCCACTTATTTGGTTTTAATGCAGAAAAAATGTAATACCCAGCAAAAATATGAAAAGGCTGTGCAAGGCCTCCAGGCTACCTTTGACTGATGATTTTCTAGTATCCCTCCTGTCCAGGTAAGCAAGAGCTCCGCCCATGGTGGGAGATTGATGTGCCTGTTTTTGTTTTGGGAACTATTCCTAGTTTTAGATTTGCCTTTAATTGCCCTTAATTTACCCTTGACTGTTTCAATGATCTTAGCGATGACACATCTCCATTGTTACAACAGGAAAAGTTAGTCAGGATTTTTTTTTTTAATAATAAATTTTATTTTTATATTCCCCATACAATTTCAACCCCCCATTTTGACCCCAATCCCTCCCCTCCCTCCACCCACCCCCCCAAAAGTGTCTCTGGTTCATAGATTTTGTTGATTTTGATTTTCTGAATGTTAAAGAGCCTATTAAGAATTATTATCTTTTTAACATTAACACACACACACACACACACAGGTTCCTGGGACAAAATGAAAATGTGTATCTTATTTGGCTCTGAAGACAAATGAAAAATTTCAAGGGCAGATTTGGCAAAGCAGTGGTTCTAGTTCCTGAGAGCTAATGACATGCTATAAGAAGACCTAGTGTTATTAGCACCAGATATAAAGTGAAAGGAAAGCACAGTGAACTGCTTTGTAAAGCACATCACTTCTGTTGAACCTGACTTCTGCCCTCCTGCCGTCACCCTCCTAGCCATCCAGTCTCTGATCACTTTTTATGTTTCCTATGTCATTTCCAGATCCTCTGACTTATTCATGTTGATAATTCTGATGTTGCAGTTGTCTTCTAGGCAGTATTATCATTGTTTTGAATACATTATCTCATTTACTTTGTGAGAACCACTTGGTGAGGTCAGAATGATTATTCTCCTAGCTTACGTGAGAATGTTGAGGTTTAGGGAGATGAGCTATTTTGCCCAAAGTTACATAGTCTAGAAGAAGCAGCTGCGATTTAACCCCTGAACCTTTCGAATGCACATCCCCAGCTTCTAACCTCTTTGAATTATTGACTACAAATAGTCAGTAAATTACAATGTCTTTATTTACAGTTTTACCTACTTCCTACTGCTTACATGCTTTCTCTCCTCCCCATTCTCGCTATCTTCACCCTTGGTCTGATCACATTTCATAATTGCAGGCCTCCATGTTGGTCTTTCTCCCACCAGCCTCTACATTTTTAAATCCATCTTTATATATAGCAGCTAACTATATTCTGAGAGCAAAAATGTCATAATGTTCCTCAGCTACTCACAAACCTCATTACCATGTCTTTGTTCTCTAGAGCCAAAGTCTCCTTAGCTTTGAACTTTTTCCCACTTCTCCGTTATGGGGTTGAGAGTTTTCAGTTGGACAGTTGCTCTCAAACAGGGTCTGGAGTTGCGAGTCCTCATCTAAGGCAAAAGGAGAAACCAAAGAAACAGGTAAAACGGACTCCCATGTGGGAGAACTAGTGCCCAAGGTGTCAGGAGGGGAATGAAGAAGAGGGCCAATTCCTTTGGGTGTGTGTATATTGGATTGAGCTGGGGATATTTTCTAGCCTGGGAGTCCTGTTTGCTTTCATTTGCTAGCAGGATAAGGAGGTGTAAAGGTGTAAAGGACCCCAGATGAGGTAGGCAGCTCTCAAGAGTCAGGGTTCTCCATGGTTACCACAGAGTTTCCCTTCCCTTTCCCACTAGTCCAGCCAAATGGGCCATTTAGTATTTCACACATATCGTTCCTGCCTTCCCACCCTTTTTGCCTTTCCTTTTGCTTTTTCTGCAGTAGGAAATAACTTCCAGTTTTCTTCTGCTGAAAGCTTGCTCTTCCTTCAAGACCAAATTCAAGTAGTTCTACATCATAAAGCCCTTTTGGATTTGCTTGGTTGGCAGTGATTATCTCCTCCAAAAGGTTCTCAGAACACTATTTTTGCGTCTCTTTTTCCCTCACCTTCAAGTGAAGATTTGTAACTTGATATTTGGTCCATTCAGATGCAGCTACCTACTTCTAAGCTGTTTGATTTGCTGCTTATAAACAATCTGTGGGTTGTCATGTTTTTTTTTTTTTTACTTATTTATTTATTTATTTGTTTGTTTGTTTGTTTGTTTTGTTTATACAAGCACTGGGTACAGTCAGAAGCGCGGGAGGGTGAGAGAATTCACCAGAGCCAGAACGGGGAGCAGAGCAGGCAGAAGGACCGAAGTACACTGCTGAGGGGAGCAGCGGGCGGCAGGAGAGGTCTGCGCGCCATGTGGGACCCTCGGGTTGTCATGTTTTAACAGTTTCACCCCTTACCTTGTCTCCTACTTATATCTGGGTGATCTTGTGCAAGAATTTTGATCTGCCTGACCTTTGATTCTTTACCTCTAGAGATAAAAATACCTACTTCCTAGTGATTCTGAAGATGAATGGAGAAGACATTCACAGCACCTGGTACCAAGAACTGATTGGGGACTAGGAGGGAAGTTTAAGTTAGGACTGCAGACCACACACTCTGACTAGGGAATGAACTGGGAAAAAACCTCTGTCTTTCAACATAGAAGAAATCTTATTTTTAAACAGTTGGGTCTGAATGCCTTTCACACATTAAGCTGTCTTCTAGTCAGGAAGCTGTGGAAGTTTATTAGATTATCTCTTGATGGCCTCAAGGATGAGTTGTCCTGGAAAGTCTGGTCATGTGGGAACCTGGCCTCTGGAGGATCTAAATATTTCTTACCCGTAACTGAGGCCACCAAGTCATCATCCTCTCATTCCCTAAGCAGAGTGTTTTGTCTCTGTCTTTACGATCTGACATTAAAGGCAGAACAACTATGCCACGGCTTGCTTCGAAGTCATCTCAGTCTCAGAACACATCTGCCTCTGAACCCAGCGTAGCTCTGAGGAGGTCATCCCTCTGAGCCACTCAGCAGACCATGTTCAGTCTAACTTTCCTCTAATTGCGCAGTGACCCTTCTCCACACTCAGGGGAAACTTCAGACTAATCAGATTAGAAAATGTCTCATTCCCATTCCCCTCTCCGTCCAATATGCCCTGCCATGATGTGGGTCACATGCTTGGGGTTTTGCATCATCTCCGCAGATTCCTTTCAAAGACTGCCCTAATTCCTAATGGGCCCATCAGCCTGCAGCTTACATTTATATTCTGCATTCTTATTGTTCCCCACAGACTCCACAGGGCTTTCCAGAGCCTTGACCAGACTCTCTTTCTGCACAGCCCTCCGTGGCACACTAAGCCAGAGCCCCTCTGATGTCTGCAGCCTCCCGGGGGAGGCAGGCATGGAGTTTCTTCCTTTGGTTCAATGCACACTCTGCCCAGGGGCAGTTTTACCTGCCTCGGGATGGAGCTGGGCAGCTGTTGAGCGGCTGTATTAATACGCCCTGCTGCGTAAATTCAGAGCAGGAGGTTGAAAACCATGGCTGAAGGTTTAGGGGACTGTCACTCATGTATTTCTCCTTTGTCATTCAGCTAGGTCTTTTCATTATTAGCAAAACTCAAGCTGGAATCAGGAGTTCAATATCTTTCCATGTCTGATTCCCCCAGCCTCCATCAGTTCAGTGCTGCGGTTACTGGTTGGAGTTCAACTTGGTTTTTTTTTCTGTTTGATTTTTTATTGAGCTAACATTAGTTTGCAACATTGTATATGACTCAGAGCTATAGGTTTCCATCTCTTCAGATATGTTACCACATCACAGCCACCACCACAGTACCAATCCTCCACCATAGTCCACTGAGCTCCCGCCTCCCTTTTTCCCTCAACCTTAGCCTCCCCTTCTGGTAGACTTAATTCTGCTGTCAGATTTCTAGGGTTGGTTTTGGTTCCGTTGTGTCTGTTCCTTTGTTTTGTTTCTTTATACTCTACGAATGAGTGTATCATCCAGTATTTGCTCTTCCTTCAAGACCAAATTCAAGTAGTTCTACATCATAAAGCCCTTTTGGATTTGCTCCTTCTGACTTATTTCGCTTAGCATGATCCCCTCCACTTCCATCCATGCCGTTGCAAATGAGGTCACCTTGTTTACCAAACGGATTCATTTCGCTAATGCACAAAGCATTAGACTTAAATGTTCTATGTAGTGGTAGCTGTTATTCATTAATAATAGAAGTGACACTCTGTATTGACATAGTGCCAAAGGCCCTAGAGTATTTTGTAAATCCTTGAGCATATACAAAGTCACATTTTAGTGGATGGTCAAGCTGATTCCCTGTTCCATAACTGTAAACATTGAGGTATAAGGAGCTTCTGTTACTGAAAGAATGTACTTCAGGCCAAAATGAGTCTGCTGGAATGAGAATGACAACTGCCTAAGACATCCTAAACCTTTGGTTCTATCTGAGCTCCTAGGAGTAAGGACTAAGTCTCAATTGCCTTTGCAGCCCTAGAGCCTTGTCCTGTGCTAGGACATTGGGTTGGGGGAGAAAACATGGTCTTGCTAGCTACCAAACCTGCTTCTGAAGTCCAAGTCTGCTGCCTCCTACCCATGGGATCCTTGTACATTGACTCAAACCTCTGAGCCTTCGTTTGGATATTAATGTTTCCTCAGTACTAATCAGCAAGAAATTCTGGTTCTTAAATCACTAAGCAGAAAGGATACTGAGGCCATTCCATTCTGCCTACCTTGTGGGACTGGGGAGTAAGAGGCAGCCTCTTCCCCTAATTATGGCCTTCTAATTTGGCATTGGAAATTCAAGGGCAACTCTTTCCCCAGCAGCTCTGCCCGAGACACAGGTCTTTTACTGCTGGCTTTGGACTCCATGGAATGTCTTAGAATTGACCTCCCAAGAGAGCCAGTGCCTCATCCAGAAATATCAGTTAAAATGGAAAAAGTTAATGGGGCTTTAAAATCATCTCATTATACTCTACCCAGCCTCACTCCCTGCTTACCTCCCAGAGGCATGATTTGGGCTCAAGGGATTTCACCAACAATATCTGGCAGTGAGGCCGAAGGGCAAGGATTGAGCTGTGTGGCTGCTATTGTTGCAAGATGTTTGGTATACTGGGGAGATTTTAGAGAGAAACCTTCTCCCTAAGAACCTTCTCATCCCCTTCCCCCTGTCTCCCCACCTCCTTCTCTCTCCACACACACACATACTCTAGATGTTTCCTGC